AAAACACAAAAAATGGAAATTGTATTCGAAAAAGAAAATAGCTTGTTTGAAGACAATGAAAGTGGTGAATATAACGATGAAATGGTTATAGTAGAGCCTCAAATTGATTATGAAGTTACTTTACATTATAACACAGGAAAAGTAATTGAAGAACACATAAAAAGTATAAAAAATAAACAATGAAAAAAAACCATAAAATCAAGTAAATAATAAAGAACAGCGAAGAAAAAAACAGATTTTAAGAAATCGAAAGCATTGAAAAAGGTGATGCAAAAAGGAAGAAATTATATTAAGTCGAAAAGGACTAAAAATACTAAAATGGAAGAATAATCAATTTAATGTTTTTTATTGATGTACAATTATTATTATAATTAACAATAGTGATATTATCTATCTAATAATAATAAATTGATAAACTTAAAAATATTTAAATTATATTATTAATTAATAATACATCGACTATCTGAACATACACAAACATAAAATTATTGTATATATTTATATATCACAATGGAATGTAATAAATATTATTAAATAATTAAAAAACAATTTTAATTTGATTATTTATGATTTATATATAATTGTAAATAGTCAAAAGAGTAAAATAAATAAACTTATTATAATGCTTTTCATTTTAGTGTATTTAATAAATTAATTAAAACAATTATTATTATTAATTATGATTATTATACTTATATATCTAATTTAAAAACCATTTCAAATAATAAATATAAATTAACTATAAACATTATATATTATTGTAATAAATACAATAATACAGATTGATTTATTTTTGTAAACATGTTTTAAAGAAATATTCAACAAAAATTCAAATGACTTGAAATTTTGTTGAAAAATAAAGGCGAAAAAAGCGAATTATTGAAAAAGCAATTTTTAAAAGAGCAGATTTTCCTAAACCCATTGAAATTTGTATAACAATTTAGATAACAATAATTAATCATTTATTTTAAAATAATATTTTTATTCAGTTACATATATATCGAACAAACAATAAACAAATTATAATTCTCGCCGTTATTAACAAAAAACAGACAATCGATCAAATTATGTTTTATAAATTTAGTATTATTAATTTAATATATAATTAATTTTTGATTATTGTATATAATAACTATAAATAACGACTAAATACTCATTTGTATTGAGTAACTTGGTTGTTCAAAAATAACTTTCCATTAAAAGTTGTATTAGGATGTTTATTATCAAATTCAATTGTTTGTTCTTTTGTCTAGGATTCCAAATATTTGGAAAATTGTTGCACATGTTCAGGTTTATTCCACGTTATGCACTTTTTTGCCATATGTCCTACAAACCCACAAATTCTACATTTTTTTCTGATGATCATGAGGTTGTTGAATATTCTGTATTAACACTTAAAATAAAGCCCTTGTTATTAAGTTGGCCTGTTTTTACAGGGAATTAATCCAATTTTTAATGATTTTACTTTTTTGGTTTGTGTATTGTTTATGCACATAATACAAACTCTAAAAAAACAGAATTTTTTTTTATAAACTCAAGATTTCCCGATTTTTAGACCACTTGAATTTTGTTCAATGTTATTTAAAGTGTTAATTGGTTTTGATTTTTGTCACACTTTCTGGATTTTCAGCAAATAACACTTTTTTACTATGTTTCATTTGTGAGTTTTTGAGAATGGGTGGGTCAATTTAAAATGGTGAACGGTTATATTTTTGATAAATACGTGGACAGGGTGACTTAAATTGTGAATAGACGAAATGAGGTTAATCCACTGTGATTTGTAATTGGGTGTCCGCAGAATTGTATCTATCGTTTCATCAAATGCAACAATGTGA